TTTCAAGTTGTAACTACATGCTATTTGGTTTTATAACTTTCCAATGTGATCTACTTTCGAAAGCTCTTGTATCTCTCCGATTTTGGGATCGAAACTTGTTCACTAGTTGCAATCTAAACCGACAACTGTCTTTGCGGCCGATACTTCGAAGCTAGTGGTAATCCTAACAATGCAATGTTGAGATAGTTTCCTTAACATAGTGTTATATTCACTTCAAGAACATCACATTAACTATAATAGCTTAACAAGTTATCTAAAATATTTCGCTGAAATTATCTTTTCAAGCGTTCCCTTGAAGTAATGTATTTGGAATACTTTGTACCATTATTTATATCATAATGAATTCCTAATTTTTCAGAACAGTTATTACACAATATGGTTACCGTATAAAAACAACACAAAGTAAAACATCCTTTATAAGCTATTAAAAATACAATTGTCCATGAATATTAAATTTCTTGTCAAGTCGTAGCTTAGTACTTCAGTAGTAGATTATGGAGCTCTCACAAAGGACGCTTGGAAACTTACAATCACGGACGGATGAATGTCAGGCTTCCTTTTATATAAAATGTAAAAAGAAAAATAGAAAATACAACTGCATTTTGCAAGGATATGGCCGTGACCTTTACATTGCAAGCTAAATGTCAAGAGTAAATCCTAGCCGGGCACGGGGAAATATTGTAGGATAAAATCCAGGCGCCGCTCAACGCGGAGAAAGGTTTTGCCACTCGAGTGACAGGCTTTTGTGCGCTCCACTCCCGTATATATTAAATTGAAGGCGGAGTGGCGCGAGATGCAACTGCTTATGTTACATCGGTATATATACATTTCTATTGCAGGCACAGAATGCAATGAAATACCTGTCCGTTTGATAACTTACGTAACTCGAAACATGATACACCTGGTTAATAAAATATCAGTTGCAGAGGTGTACAGGGCTACAATACAAGTTATTATTGGAAAAGCAGGCATAACTAGCCTTTGTGTCAACCAGTCGCACAGTCTGCAGATTGTGCTCGAATGCAGGTGAAAAAGCTAATGTCCTAAGTCTGATTTAAAAATGTTTTCTACTCTCAAGTAGCCGGTGTTCAGAAAATGTGCGCAATGTGTGCAATCTGGGCGCCCGGCTGCTGTCCAGCCAACAATAGAAGGATAAGATTGTATGTCGATTGTTCGCAGCAATAGAAATATATTTTCTGTAAAATCTAAACACGGTTCATGCAGTAGAGCCAAGCGACAGACAGACAGACAGACAGGCGGATAACGGAGTCTTAGGAATAGAGTCCAGTTTTTACTCTTTGGCTACAAAACTCAAATAAAAGAAAAAGATAAAAGGTTCTCGAATAACATTTTATAAACTGAACCGGAAGATATCTTGTAAGAGAATTTACTTTCAGAGATCTGTGTTCGATAGAAAAATAAGCGATATTAGAAAACTGAAGTTGAGAAGACGAAGATGTTCGTATAAGTTTTGTGATAAATGTACACACGAAGATTAAAGTATTATGGGGGCAACAAAGAAATAAAAATAATGAATAATTACGTTTAATTTTTACGTGCGGTCTTATTGGTAATTTTAATAAGTTTAACTTTCGAATTGCACCTTAACGAATCTTATCTATGATGTATGTCAAATAAAATACAAAGTATTTGCAATTAAAGACTATGTAACAGTGTGTTTAACTACTATTGAAACAAAAATTTAATTTGAAATGAGCTGATACAAGGTCGTCATTATTTTACGCGTTGACACTACAATTATACAGGTTGTTTGGATTGGTGCTTTACAGAGGATGTTGATTTAAATACTTTAGATTATGTTAAACCAAACTTATCCTGGAAGGGTTATACTGGTTTTTTATTGAAGTGTTAAGTTTCTATCAAGTTTTTCCATAAAACATGTCCTGCTTCTCTAGTTATATGTGATTATTCAAACGTAGTCAGAATACCAATCTCAAGATTTTCTATGTACTCGTTCAACAGGCTATTTAGAGGTAGATGCGATTATCTAGAGCCGCTATATACCCTTGCACATTATATTAAGCTCATACTTAGGTTCCTAGTTCACATTTAGGTCTGAAAGCAAAACAACAAAGACTGCAAATTACGTCCTACCGGTCTATTTTAGACGTGTCGAGAGTACGTTGGCATCTGTATGCGGTATTTATGGACTAATCGATATTAGCCTATTACCTGTTCCACTACTATCACAGCCTCTTCTCATATAGATAACAGAAAGAATGAGCATTGATCTCGTCGTTTCCTTAAATCAGATTATTGATCCTGGACTTAGTTTAATAGTCGTAAGCCCAGTTGCACTTGAATTTTTTCTTCATTTTACGTCAGTGATGTTGTGAATTAACAGAACATACATATTACATAATGCATCGTGTTAGATTTTGAACCTTCACCCTCTGAAGAAATGGCAACCAATCAGTCACCACAATCTATTTATAGTGCCGTATGATGCAAAGTGTGCGATTATTATTAGCATTAAGTATAGTTAGCCAAGTTATTTAGTGTCATCATCATCATTATCAACAGCCTATACCTAAGTAGCTACTGCTGACCAAAGGCCTCTTCTCACACGGACAAGGTTTGAGCATTCATCATCACGCTTGCTCAATGCAGGTTAGCGATTTCAAAGTAATAATTATAAATTATAAAGACCAGGTTTCTTTTCACCGGTTGTCAGTGATGTCTAGATAATCTTAGAAAGCACATATAACTCGGAAAAAGTCACATTGGTACTTGCTGTTGGTAAGTTTCGAACACGCGCCCTCATGCATGAGAAGCGGGCGTTTTAGACCTTCGAGCCACCACGACTCGCGTTATTTGGTGTGCAGGTGAGAAAATAAAGGTTAGTTCAGTATAGGGACGGTTTAGTGTTAAAACTAGTTTTCTATTAATATACCTTTTAAAATCTTAGTAAGTTAATAGCTAGTCTCAATAATCTATCTGTAAGTAGACTTAGTGACAGAAAATTTTACACATTTTTACATACGCATCAATTTTTTATCATATTGCAGAGAGATACAGTAAAACTATAGTTTGAAAACTGAACTGCAACAGTTTTGAACTAAAACAAGCGCAGTTGACTGCGGTGTTGATTCACAATGGAATAGTTTTAAAACATGAATAAAAATCAAATTAATAGTTCATATAGAGTTTATTGTTTGCACGTAGCGCGGGGATTCGAATGCAGAACAGTTTTGTATAACTTTTTTATTGTTTTAAAAAAGAAGGGTTACTATATTTAAATGGCTGTTTTTATATATGTCTTTCTCGATTACTCGACTATTGTGGACTGATTTTTATGTTTTTTTTTTAATATTGAAGATGAGAAATACCGTTATTTTGTCACAGAAATAAAGCTAGTAATATAAGCTAGTATCACACAATTGGATTCAATATTTCACCGGTACAGTGATTGGACAAATAAATGACCTCACGCTACTGTGGCGCCATCTGGTAAGCGTAAAAATGATGTTGTAGATTGATTTTCATTTTTCTTTTTTAATTGTGAATAATTGCGTAGGTTTTCCATACGTACATGTTTTCTGTGACGTAATTATACGAATGTCGGTTTGTACGTAATGTACAGAGAATGGGGGTGTTTCGTGTATGATGGATATAGACGCTTGTTTACATTTTGTTACATTTACATTCTCATTCTTAGAAAATATCTTTTAGTTCATATCTTTTCCGGTGCACTGGTATATCGAGAATATGAATGTGTATTGAAAGTGAATTTATTATGTCAGTATGAGTGAGTGTGAATATTTTTCTAAACGGATTTTTGTGCACGGTTAAAATCGCATATATTTTTTGTTTAATCTTTGCCCCACACTAGTATATTCTCCTGTATCGAGGGTGCAATAACAATCATACAAGTTCACATACACATAAGATCTGGAACAACAATTTGTGGATCACACAGAGTTGTTCGGTAAGGGAATCGAACCCGCGACACGTTGCGCGGCAGCCGGTTGCTCAGCCACCGTACCAACCGTGCAGTGAAATCAATTTTGAAACATAAAGGGTACTAATGATAACTTTAATTTTACAAAGCGATTTAGACAAGTGTAATATTCTGTCTGTAACATCTAATAGGGCCCTATTGCTTTTTTCTTCTCCATGTGAGAAGAGGCATTTTATTAGGAAATTATCACCGTGGGTTACTGTCCCAGTGTCAGCAGTGGTTATGATCTGATAGGGACTATTTTGAAGGCAAATAATGTATCACTTTCATTACTTCTGTTATATGTATGAATATTTCAAAGTTTTCCAAGATTAGTGATTCAACATAGTGTCTATAGCCTAGTGCGAATTAATCAGATTTTCCTTCATTTTTGTTAACGATATCCCTATTTGTGACGGCTAGTGATGGTGGTGTAAAAGATTGGAGCAAATCTTTTATTTGTTTTCGAATTTATACCCAAATTAGTGTTAGATAGATCAAAATATTAGCAGATAGCCCAGTAGATAGGTAGTCATAACATCAGTCCTGATGATTGACATATTGGCAGAGATTGGAATGTTATTAGAAACAACATGGAGTTCACTGGCCTAACACAAAGAGATCTTCACAAACTTTGACGCTGTCGATTTTATGATAAACATGAGAACTTTTTTCAGACACACTAACATACATACTTCTTTTCTTAGTACCTATTAACTTTTATACCTACATTATGTATTTGTATATAACTGAGGAGATTGTAATTGTTCAAATGTGAGACTTTACAATGTATGGCTGTGCTGTGCATGGCCGTCCTGCTGTTGCGCAATGTGTTGCGGGTTCGATTATCAAACGGAACATTCTGTAGTTTCTTGTCTGAGTGTTATTGGAATGAGAAATGTGTTTGGAAACACATCTAAGACTCCAAAGGAAACATAATCATTTCTTTTTTCAGGAATCGACCCCGATGTTTGTTTGTTCGTCTCTCGCGGAACAAAGGACTTCTTGGCTATAAATAAAATAAAATGAATGTACTTACGTTGATAACAACTCTTTCGCAGAAGTCGTGGTCGTGTTGTATGGGTTCGAACGTCACCACCCCGCCCTGGGGTGGCCGTCCAGGCTCCTCTTCCTGGTTGCACAGTTTCGGCAGTGACCTGCAAACACCAACATAGTTAGACCTCTTATAACACCCACGAATACTTATGAGTAAACCACAATAAACATTGTGTAAGGACACGTTCGATGCTCCCGACGGTCATAGGTTATCAGTGATGTAGGCTACAAGCCAGTTACACTCAAATAAATACAGTACCGTCAACATAGCATAGATAGAAATTGCCCCGGAGTGAAAAACCAGACCAATCAATTTATTTTATTTGCCGATAGTCAACAAAATATTCAGGTCCGCTCACAGCTTTCCATTTCACTCTCAACCATTAAAAATATAACCTTCACTTATATTACTCCAGGTAGGCAGAATATCTCGCCCTCTGCTCGTTGCCCCCCTCAAGGTTGCGCGACAATGTGTGCGCCCCGGCTTCGTCCGACCAAACGTGCTCAAACATGCCACTTATGTCCTCTTCATATTTCTCAGTTTGGCTGCGAAAGTTGCCGGCCTTAATAACTTCTACGTCCAGGGTTGCCGTTACATACTCCAAGATATCAAGTCACTCGACAGGCTATTACATTAGTACGTTAGTGTCTATGGTTACTTGCATACCATTTCCTACAGCTACCTACGTATGACTTCCGAACTCAGATAACAAATACCGCAACTGCTAGTCCATCTAACTGTACAGTCATCGATTTGAAAGAGTTCAAAGAGATCTTTCCACGTCATAATCATCATCAGTAGAATCCATCATCCGTAACATCATACAATATGCAAATGGAATATCAGAGCGATAGCCCTAAGTAGAGTGGGGCTGTGAGTCGCGAGCCGCGCCGTCAGCACGCGGGGCCGAGAGCCGAGCCGCGTTGTTTTTCTAAAACGTTCCCCTTATCCCAGCGATCGCACTTCATTCTACTTCAGATGCTATTGAGACGAGATGACTTGACGACGACACTACAAATGTGCCGATTACAGGCACACTCGACACTGTCACGCCACTTTGTAACCCTTTATAGGATACCTAGTTAGTCGGCTTTTATTTGTCATTTAAATTGTAAATAACAGGTTTAAACACCAACCTTACAATTTGCAGTTCTACACGACTGAATTTATCGAAGAAATTGCCTGGGAAAACCGTCTTGCGAAACAGACTGTTTACAGTGGGTGCGCCGAACCCCTTTCAAAGAAGCGCATTGATAAATCCAATAGTTTGTTAGCAAAGGACAAGTAAGGCGATTATGTCATTAACAATTCAATGTGATTATACCGTGGGTAAGTCAAGGTTTCAAGGACGAGTTATTATACTTCTATAATGAATGATAAATTCATGCCAATGGATAAGAAATAAAATTTTGCAATCATACCACAACATTATTATTGAACTTATAATTGATAATTGTCATTTCTCAATACCTCCTAAAAATAAAACGATACTGGCAGTATAGTCGACATCACCATATTGGAGACTCAGTTGCTAAAGAAGAAACAAAAAGAAAAAAAACTTTAAAAAATTAAAATGAACAACACTACCAATCATTGATCTACTTTATCGTCATTAATTTAATCAAACTATCGCACAATGACGCACTTGCGGAATCAATGGTACTTAATTATTGTACTTTGTTTATGTAATGAACAATGTGGAGCAGGGTGAAATAATTAATCATTATGATATTAATGAGCTACTAATAATTAAGTGTGCAGGTTTGTTAAGTATTGGTATCGAACATTAAGTGGTAACAGAATTACGTAGTGATATTGAATTTTCGGTCATAATGTACTTGAAAATATAGCAGTCAATATGGATGCTGTTTCTAGAACAAACGGAAGAGAAAGATTGTGAATCTTGGTCCTTAAAAGGCAAATAATAATAATTACAAATATCACAACAACCACTCACTGCTGGACCATTTTTTTTTGAGTAGGGAAAATCATCGCCTGCCTTTTACCGCCCGGGTGAGGCGAGAGGGAGATTCAGACTGACTAAAACCACCCCGTTCCTACTCCTGCCCTTCGAGCCGGAGTCCCGGCAACCCGTTAAGTCCATGGACTGCTACAAAATATTACCAATAATATAATTTCCAAGCTTGGCAGGTACGTATCGCAGGGGTTTATCAGAAAATAATGTTGTCTACTCTTTATTAAATGTGCAACTCCTTTAATTGGTCCTTAAAAATGACACCCGGGGGTGGGTCACTACGTTCTTCGTTAACGTCAGAGTTTAATAGGAACTGGATTTATTCCTTGAAATCTATGTAAAGATTTCAAGGAAGCAAGAATTGCCTGACGCTTTCTCTTTAAATAAAATCTTAAGTAACTTTAAACGAATTTCTGTAAAACGTAAATTGAAAATGTGATGCCTTTTATATTATTTTTACAATAACATAACATAACATAACATCACGCCTTTTATCCCCGAAGGGGTAGGCAGAGGTGCACATAGAAGTAACACCCACTTTTCACTATTTATGTTATGAGTCCCATGTAATAGGGGGTGAGCCTATTGCCATATAACGGGCACAATTCCAGACTCCGTACTACTACTGAGATTTTTAAAAAAACCCCAGTAATACTTTGCCCGACCCGGGAATCGAACCCGAGACCCCTTGCCCGGCAGTCGCACTTGCGACCACTCGGCCAATGAGGCAGTCTTTTACAATAAATATAATGTAATGTATGGAGTGCCTTGTCACACGTTCCAGTTGCTGGTTTTGATATCACTATTTGTACCAAATAACGATGGGTCTCGGGTACCCCAAGTCCACTTGCGACACCAGAGGCATCACAAGTTCATAGCGCAGTATATAGTAGTTAAAATTCTGTCTAATTACGCCATTAGTGCTGGGGAGCCACCCAGAAAATGATGGCGCAAGTAAATAAGTACGGGATACGAAAATCTCACTTATCAGGCGTAACTCAACAACAGGCTATCTGTGTGAAGCAGTGACGTAACGTCACTGCTTCACACAGATAGCCTGTGAGATGATGGTACTACTTCAGTTCGTTCCACAAATAATAAAAAGTGAGCTACGTGTAAATCAAAATTGTTAATATTTCGGTTCAATAATTGCCAAATGAAACAATATTGAATTTTACTCAGTATCATAAAAGATATGACACAGGCCAACATAATTTTAATTGGACAGCCATTACGCATGCTTGATTCTACGCATGGCTCACTGCTTTCCCATAAAAGTGATGGAGGTGAAAATTAAAAAAAATATATTTTATTTAATAAATGACATACATCTGCATTCAGCATAAAGCCCAATTAGTCGCGTTAAAACAAAGGCAGAATGAACACAACCACTTGAAGCATTTTTGCCGTCGGAACAGAGAGTACAGCTTCATATTATAGTTTTTTTTTTAAACAAAAGGCTTTTTATCCAATCAAGCCACACAAAATACTTGTAGATTACCTACAAATGAGATGAAATTTATACATAACATAACATCACGTTTTTTATCCCCAAAGGAGTAGGCAGAATGCATATTACGGCACTAATGCCGCTGTACAATATAACACCCACTTTTCACGATTTATGTTATGAGTTCCATGTAATAGGGGGTGAGCCTACTGCCATATACTAAGCATATTTCCAGACTCCGTGCTACTACTGAGTTTTTTAAAGAACCTAGTAATACTATGCCCGATCTGGGAATCGAACCCGAGACCCCTTGTCCCCCACTCGTCCAATGAGGCAGTAATAAAATTTATAGAGAGACAAAATAAGTATTTATTTATCAATTAAGTATGTACATCTGTTTACTAGAGGTAGAATACCAATTACGGTAGCTTACAATCACGTAATAGTGTAAGTAAATATTAAGTAGAATAAAATGATTTTACCTGACTTATTACTTAATTATGACTAGGAAAATGATTTTTATGGAACCTCCATAAAAATAGATAAGATTCGCACAGCTTTTACGCCGACGTAACATTTCATTTCACTTTGAATCTTTTAGTATAAATCTCGCAAGCTCATAAAATATCTAGCTCGGCGATTAAAACACCTATTTGTCACGATTCCAAATAATAATTAAAATATTTCCAAAACCCTTTTATATAACGTTTAAAACTAAAAATGCCATATTTTTATTTCTAATCAAACACCTCATTTAAAATAGGCGATAAATTATCAACACTTTCTACCACAGAATGCCCATCTAAAATTTGAGACTGAGTATACATATAATAACCAAATTATCACTTCATATCTAAATTAAACGCATTCCTAACAAGTTGCGATACAACATACATTTATATACAATTCGTTAGGTAACCGCATCAGCAATAATTAATTGGAATCTGGGACAAACCGTAACTTATGTAAAAGGAATTAATAGCAATAACAATGATTTTGAATTTTACCTCAGTAAGAGTAAAAATCTACAGTAAAACTAAAGTGATAATACATTGGAAATATATATAACGAAAACCCCGATAACATTTTACTGACTTTTTGCTCTTAAACGTATCCAAAATAATCATTTCAATTGCAAAAAGTATTCTCGAATATTAATAACAAATATGTATAAGGGTAACAATGTATTATTTGTCTTAACCTGTTGTTCTTAAATTAAATTGTTTTATTAAGAACATATTCATCGTTTAAACACAAAGACAATATATATGGCAAAACTGAAACACTGGAAATTGAGCTTTCACTGTTTGTACTTGCGATTAGGTATCCTTCTTGTACGATCACTAAGTCACAATTCACAAACACATTTTCTTTTCAAAATCAATCTCCGAGAAGATCGTAAAATTATTGAAGCGTAATTTATAATTTATATAGAAAATCACTAGCGTAAGAGAAATGCCATACTTGAAATTATATAAAGTAACTTCAAGAAATTAAAAGAACATTTAATGAAAAACTGGAAAACTATTGCGCAGATATAAATCGTTTTCAGATTTATTTCATTTTTATTTTCCAAGTTTCCGAGTCAGTGAGCAAGGAACCATCTTATTAAAGTCACTTCATATTTATTCCCATCTAGTATTAAATTAAATCGCGACGGAAAATTAATAACTCC